ACACTTCTGTTGTGCTTTTTGAGTTGAACTGTTGATCTGAACACGTCCACCTGCTGCTGCCTCCACACTGTGGCCCAACAGCACAAACACTGGGCCTCTGGGAGGAACTACAGACTGTGTAAGTGCAGCTGTCAGTCCAGGTGAGTGGCAGTGCTGAGGTATCATTTAAACCGGGTTTTTCCATAAGACCCCCGCACCGCTACATGAGAGCCGCTCTGTGTTCTGCAGCACTATGGACCAGCAGCTCATCTGAAGGAAACCCTCAGATGGCTGTAACACAGGTCTGGAAAGCATATCTAAAAAAACCAGCAGGAGGTTATTATGTGAGCATGAAAGAATCTTAACTCAGGTCCATTTAGTGTAACAGTAGTAAGCCCGTTGTAGCCCTGGCCCTCCCTGACAGTTTAAGTGTTTTACAGCTGATGGAAGCCGTGCTGTGGTGGTGAATCAGCCTCCTGGAACAAAATGCACTCTTGTGTGCACTTTACTACTTCTGCGCTGCCTTCAGGTTCTTCTGTCTGGCCCGGACCACTACCTCTGCCCATGACTGCTGTGGTGGGGTGTAGAGCAGGAGGATGGCCGTGGGCAGGAGGGATCCCAGGGCTGCAGAGAGAGAAGCTGTTCATGGACCACCTCCATACATGTGGACAGCACAGCGTCTTTGTTCTTCAGTTCATCAGAGAGCTGGTGAATATCCTCCAGCAGTCAGCCATCTTTTTATTAGCCTTCCTAAGCTGTGGGTCTTCTCCAGGGTGCATGGAGGTAGCCATGTAGCCCTTAGCTTAGTTAAGCTAAGCTTAGCTAAGCTAAGTGTAGACTGAGATTAGATTTTCTAAAAAAAATTAATTAACATTTTTTTCATTGTTTTAATTTAAAAGTTTAATTTCTTAAACCTTTGGCTGGTTTAAGAACCTGACTTCATCCAAAATTTTGATTTATGTAGATTAAACAAATGAATGCATTTTTAATGACATAACACCTTGGTTGTATTTAAATATGACATTTCAGAAAACTTGCTAAACTAATCATGCTTTTAGTTAAAATCGTTGCCTGTCAATAATGGTTTGGAACTATTATTCCTAAAGAAATGAAAAAAAATGTTGTTTTTCTGGCTGTTGTCAGGATTTTCTGATTTGTGGAGGAAAAAAAGTCCTGTTAGAGAGTTTAAGTCTAACAAGAATTTTGAAACTAGATTTATTCAATGTTCATTTTTCTTTTTGGGAGGTTTGTGCAGATCAGTGCATTTTAACCAGACAGTGGCTGATTTTCACATTTAAAAGAGGTTTCATGGTGATGTCTGTAAATCAAAAACGTTCCCTGTTCACCTGCAGTCTTGTGTGTCTCCCTGACAGTAACGTGTATCGAGAGAAAAAACAGCAGCTGGACACGATTTAAGTCTTAAACAGAAGGAAAAAAATCAAACTTTGTATTTTTGATAATTTATGCGTGAAAGGTTCAACAACGAATGTGAAAAAAGCTATTTGCTGTGTTATCAATTAAATTAATCCAGTGTGTGACTCTATTAATTCACAGTCAGACGAGCACTTACCCCAGCACGTCTAGACTACTGGAATATGATGAGTAAACCTGCTTTTTATCGCGTCCTATTTTCTCCCGCTGTGGTTTGCTGGTTTCCCACTTTTCGGCGCGGCCGTGAACGCAGCACGGAGACAGCGCTCGGCTCGCTCCGGATCCGCCGCCGAGTGTCTCCGCTGCCTCACCGAGCACCGCCGCTTCACGACAAGTTTTCACCTGGAAATAACGTCCCGTGGCGCCGGGGAACGGCCACGCTGGTCGCACTTTAGCTGTAAATGTGGAGGAAGGTTGCGGGAAGGCGGCGGTTTTTATTCCCCCCAGAAAAGCAGCAGTAAGTGAGTGAAAGGCTGCCGGTGCGCCCGCTGTCCCGGGGGAGGCTTTTTGTTTGGGGTGAACCTCTCTCTGGGAACACCGACGCTGGCGCGCTTTCCCTCAGCCTGGACACGGACTGGAAAATACCCGCAGATACTTGGTCTGTGTGGGGTCTGAGTGAACCGGGTCGAGCTGGGATGAGGACGGACTTTACCAGCGGTGAAGCGCCAG